TTTTTAAAAAGAGTATGTTGGGGGATTATAAGCCTTCATCATGGGTATTTCAAAAGAAAAGAGATACTTATGGGGAAAAACTCAGGGACAAGAGAATACATGATGTAATTCTTGAATTCCGTTTTTCTTTGGAAGAGCAACAGGAACTCTCAGTTTTTCCAAGGAGATCTCCATGCTATGACAGTCCATTCTTGTATTTCCTGTACTTGCTCTCACTAGGAAGGCCAGAGACGATCACTGTAGCAGCTGTAAATGTAAATATTGAGAACTGGACCTTGAATGGGACATTGTAACACTTTGACCTTACTGTTTTTGGTCTAGCAATAGCTGTTGTTTTAAAACATGGAATTTAACAGCAGTTGTTTTCCAAGTAATGTAGCATGTTTTCCTCTACTTTAATAGCTTATTTAAAGACCCATTTTCCCAAGTTACCCATAGATGTTGGAAATAATTTCTGCATTTCCCCTGGCTTATATTCTAGTTGTCAAAAAGTGAAAACACAAACACTAGCTGAACAGATTCAGTTACATCTCAACATGGTAATTGTTAAATCACTCAGTAGGAGGAAAACCAAAAAAAAAAAAAAGTCACACAAGGAGTTTTTATTATGCATATGCATTTTTAATGTCTGATCCTCTGTATAACCTTAAATTACAATGCAGGTTAAATTTCCCTTGCTGATTTATAAGCATAATGTAAACTCTAGACACAGTTAATGATATTGCAATGTAAAACTGTTCTGTTGCAAACTAAAAGACCTTGCTTAGCACTGCAAAGCTCCGGGTTCATTTCAATGTGATCATTGAGGCACTATGCAGAGATTATGCATTTATTGTATTTTTTTCATGAATACATGAATGAATAATAAGTTCAACAAACAAGAGTTTCCTACTGGGAATGTCAAACAAATCATTCTGCAAAGTGCTCTGAATTTCAATCAATCACTCTCCATAACACTTGTCCCGCTGACACTTCAGCTTCGGCAGAGTCAGCACTTGGAAACACTGCCGCCTTGGCAGGAGACACAGGGTGCCGGAGTACAGAAGGCAGCCCTGTTAGGTGGTCCTGTTCCTCTCAGCCCAGCGGAGCTTCCTCGCCAGGGCCCCTGCTGGTTGCTTCTGTATTGGTGGAGACCTAGTGCATTGGTGAATCATGTTCCTATAGCCCCGCTTCATCCACACCCCTGGTGTTACTCATAAACTGTAATCCAGAAGCTTTAGTGGATGGCTCAGAGGAAGGGAAGTGTCCTCTTGAGGTGAATGGACAAGACAGAGTAACCCCAGGTAATTGCAGTCGTGACACTTTCAAGACCTGGATGAATGGTGCGATTGGGTTACCAAGTGTGGAGGCATCATGTAAGATTTGTTCAGAGAGCATGCATGGAGTCTTTACTTTAGGAAGTATCTCTTGGGGTTCTGAAGTTGGATTTCCGTGTTTCTGTCTTGAGGAATCCTTATTTTCATTTTAGAGAGTTCAGTGTTGCCCTTACAAGGGCCTTGATTTATACTGAGGTGGGGGGAGGGGGCTTAAAGAAGGGAACAATCCTTTACTTGCAATTGTTTGTTCCAAGGTAGGTTTAGGACAAACAACTCTTTAGATGGAGCGGTTTCCTCTTTCTGTTCTTTTGCCTACCTTGTGACCAGAGGCAAATTCCCCTGCTGCAGGTGAGAATTTCCAGGTGGGATTGCCAGTTTGAGGTAGGGTTCCTATAGCTTGAGGCAACATGCTGAGTCTGAAGAAACTTGCCCTCATAACAAGCAGTCTTGTTATTCATCACCTACCAAATCAATGAATACCAACACATTTTGAGTGAACTCCAAAAGCTGTGATAATCAGATTTTTCCTTCAATCTAAATATTCATCTTAGCTTCCCCAAGCCAATTAAATGTTACTAAACAATACAATTGTTTATGTTTTATTTATGGTCTCTAAAATAAAAAGTCTTATTCTTACTCTTCTTTGACCCTTCTGGCCACAGCACTTATCCCATATCTGTCTGGGTCAGATGTTTGTTAGTTTTCATGAGTGCATAGAGTGCCAAGCGTAGTGATTACTTAATAAAAGTTGGTTCCTCACCTCTCTTCTCATTCTTTTACATTCTTCTTAAAAACAAATACCTTCAGGTGCAAATTTATCAAGTTTTGTTACAAAGATGGCTTCCCCACTATGACTCTGTTATAAATAAATAACGTGATACATTGCATTTTCTGTAGAGGAAAGCCACTGGATGGAATGTGACAAGCATTTCAACTTCTGGAGCAGGCCCTGGGTTATTCACTGGGGTTGGGGAGTGTTTCCAATGGAAACAGGCTTTCAAATTCCTCCAAGGGTCTGGTTGTCCTGACTGGCTGTGTGACATAAAATAAATGACGCCACTGTAAGCCTCAGTTTTCTCATCTGTAAAATGCAAAAATTGAAAAGATTTGCCTCAAGGACACTTGATGATACAGCATAAGTTTTTAGAGCATGGACTCTGGAGCTAAACTGTATGAGGTTCAAATTCTTGAAGTGGTTACTTAACCTGTCGGTGCCTCAGTCCTTATCTGTGGAAAGGTTGTAAGGATCAAGTGAGTTAGTATGTATAAAGTACTCCGCCCATGCCAGGGTAAACTCCATAAGTGTAAGCTATTATTATTCTGATTATGATTCCATGGATTTAATAATACTAACATGATAATATCTATTGTTTATTGAGTAGTTAAAAAGTATTACTGCTAGGAATGAGTTAAATATTATTTACATTATCTTGTGAAAATATAAAAAAAATGAACCTATGATGAGCATACTGTAACTATCTCCATTTTACAAATGAGAAAATGAGGACGGTACTAAGTTAGTTACCTAAGGTCCCACAGTTAGTTCGGAACCGGACAGGATTCCAAACCCAGCTCTGATGCCTACCCTCCTCCCAGCATGGATTCTTGATCCAGCCCGCACGCACTCCCCCCCACCGCCCCCTTTCTCTCCAGGGCTCTGTTGGAACCAGACCAGCCTTCAAGGTGTGCTAGACAACAGTAGGAGGGAGGAGGAAGGCTCCTTTGCTCCCTCGGCTGAGCTTGATGTCAGACTCTGCAAAATACACTTATTGAATTGATTTCCACCCATTTCACTGCTGACTTTGGCACTCTGTTTCACATTTAGTCAGTGTTTATCTAAACGAGTTCAAGCTACTTTCTTCCTTCACTCCACTCCATAATGACCTCTTGCTTCTGAATTCATTTCTAGTACAGCACGCCGATGTCACTTCATGCCTCTTCTTCTTCCCCCAGTTGCCTCACTGTACTGCTGCTACCTTTTCAACTGCTTTTCTTCTCTACTCCTTCCTCTGCACTGTCTCTGTTCCTTGTCAGGAAAAAAAGACAAAAGCAGCTAACTCGGGCTCACACGGTATCCTCAGAATTTCCTGTGGTTCCAGTTCCTCTTTATTGTGTGTGTGTGTGTGTGTGTGTGTGTGTGTGTGTGTGTGTCCTTCCTTTAGATCACCCACCAGAAATACACTCAATGCTTGTGATGGGTTTATGTGGTGGGTGAAAAAACATCCAGAGTGGGACTACCAAAGACAATGTCAAAAAGAGTCGTAACAGCTACAACGGGTGAGTGAAAACTCTAGGCCTAGACTGTTGTGATTTTCAGCAATTTTCACCGTCATGTTAGCTGATCTGTGTCTCATTACTGATCAGTAATATTATATTTGGTTTGTGTACCTCCTGCATGCATTAGTGACTAAGGTGGGTACATATTTTAGTCATATAATCACTATACCCCCAGGTTTATTGATTTTTTTTTTCTTTTTAGGAAAACAACAATAAAAGACAACATGGATAGTAAATAACTTGGTTCATAGAGACATTTCTATGTACTTCATTTAATCTACTTAAAAATAAGTCTTATTGAAGTTAAAATAACACAGGGTAATTTCCACTATAATTGGATCGATGGAAGAGTGGGGGTTACTGAGCCAGGAAAGAAATTAGAGTGATTAATCTGGGAGTAGAGTCCTTTTATATGTCTGCTTAATGACAGTGCTCAGAACCTTATGAACGGTGCTGGATATTAAATTATTAAATTTGATGGCTAGGGAATGATTTTAAAACTTAATAACAAGTCCTCTTAAGCCTTATAAGGGATCCCTGATTTCTGCAATCCATAGAAGACCAAGTGCTCATGTGATTGACATAAGAATGGTCTGTTTTAGATAACGTTTTAGAAATTAACTTTCTCCCCCCACCCCCAACCCCATGCCCCTAAATCCATATTGAAGGCTTTCTGGCAGGGCTATCTAAGTGTGTTCAGTAGAAACACACTGAATTCCTTTAATCCTGGTTCGAGTAATGTTCTAGGCTGGAGCTATGTTTGCTTGAAATAAAAAAGATGATGTTCAGGACGAAACAGTTATGGCACTGTTTTAATTTACTAGGAATCTGTCTGGATGTTTGATATTTTAGTATTAAGAAAGTTCCCAAGGTTCTACTGGGGGAAAAAAGTACATGTTGAGCGATTGGTTAGATTTCCTTAAAGTTGATATTTTACATCTGGGTATGTGTCTGGACGTTCACTTGAGTAATTTGGTTTAACACTTCTCAGGGGTGGCAGGGTCCGGTGGGAGGAGGCTCTTTTCTGTTTCACTGGGAGGAGAAGGGCTACAGAGGGAGGAGGCGTGGAATGTTACATAATGTGGAAGAGTACAGTTGAGAGCCACATATTACGTATTCTGCTGTAATTATCAGGCTTTTCCTCTTAGCCTTCCAGTTATGGCTGATGGCAGCAGGCGGAGGCTTTGTCACATGTTGGGTGTGTTTCTTAAAGTGCTCTGGGGGAAGAACAAAACATCCTCTTTAAGGCATTCTCCGTACAGCCCATTTCAGGATTCCGCACTTTCAGGCTCTGTTATGACTTTCATGGAGTCATGTCTGTTTTTCCATTGAGGTCAACCCAAGTGTGAGTCATCCTCAATGAAATCACCCTGGGAATGCAGCAGTGTTGTTGCACTCTTAGGCACCAGAGTTGGGAGTTTCTGCAGATGATGTGCTGGGCATCAGATGAGCCTACGAAGATTTAAAAGTATGTATGTGTTTTAAGTAAACACGAGCTAACTAGGATAGCTTTAATTTGGAGCCTGGCCTGAGAAACAGGAGACCTGGAACTCTGACACTAATGGACTTTGTAATCTCAGTCAAGCAACTTAACATTTTGGGGCTTCAATTTTTCCATTTAAAAAAGGCTGTATGATCTCTAAGGTCCCTTTTGGCAGGATGGCTCTATATTTTCCTTTCATCTACTACAAAGAGTGCTGGGCCAGAAAATTCTCTGAAAACTTGTTTTTAACGTGAGATCAATCTGATGAGTATCATCAATGTAAAAAATAAATCGTTAACAGGTGCATATGGTATTTGTTTCTTAAATGCTAATCTTTAGTAAATTGCTTGATCATTTGGTATGCACCATGCTGTAAATGTATTACATACTGTATTTGTACTTTATATTTGGAAGTGCCATTGAGCATTGCATATGGTTGTTCTGAATTTGTCAATAATATTCCCTGTGCATTCCATATGGTAACAGCCATGTAATCCTTATATGGTAATAGCCCTTTTAGTTCCACATTGAGTAAAATTAATGTTTTGTACAATTAATGCACATATATTTCATAGTCTTGCACTTTCCCAAGTTATACTTTTAAGATGGAAATGATGATTAGAACAGTTCTGTATAGTAAAAGGGCTAACTTCATTTACTTATTTAAAGAATTAATTGACTCTAAAGAATACTATTTTCTTAGAGGAAAATCTGTAATAATGTTAACTTGTGCAAGTGTTTTTGACTAGCAAAATCATATGTATTTAACTTGTATGTTGTTAATAGGACTCTTCACATCTTATTTCTACTCTCCAAATCTCATATTTGGATAAGGGCAAATTTTTATAATTGTGAATATAGTTCTTTACATGTTTTGCATATTAATGTCATTTATATTATGAAAGCTTAAAAAAGATCAAAGATTGATGATCATTCATACCCTTTTGATTGAACCTTGTATGCTTTTTTAATTTCTGTGGATGATCCTAGGAAGTGCTTTATTTTGTGTGCAAAAGCATCGCTTTTTATTGTTATGAATTAGCTATGAAGTGGTCTCATTTTCAAAGAGTTATGAAGGACAGAGCTGCACATTCTGTTAACAGCTAGTGATCCAAATGGAGAAAAACATTTCCATGAGAAAAGCAAGTTGTATAATGAAAAGGGCCCTCATAGTCTATAGAAGATCATTACAAACAGTTCAGGGTATCCATTTTGATGATATGCATTTTGACAGGATTTTAAAATCCGAAGTCTTCTCTTTGCTGTCGATCTCAGTATTTAGTTAACGACCTAACAAGTTCACCCAGGTTATTTTCCTTGGTCCTCCCCTGTTCTGAAAAGCGTGTCTATTTAAGACAAAGAGGTCCTTCTCCACTGCCGTCGGTTGAAGTGTGTGCTGTGTGTGCTCTGCTGTTCCGTTCATTTTCCTCGCTCATCTTCAGGTTCAAAAACTGCGTATTTGTTTGGCCATTTGAAAAAACCTTCCAGTGTTTTTTTTTTCCCCCCTCATGTCTGAAATGGTTCATATTAGAGCTTTCATAATACCCTTCAGTTTCTGTGTTAAATTGATGTTTAAATTGGAAAGAAAGTGGGAACTTTGGCAGTTTAGATAATTCACTTCATCTGGTGGCCAGCTATGTTAACAATCACATCATATGCCAGCACTTAGAGGAGATGAAAGGAGCCCTCGGGGCACTGAAGCTACATTTTAGGAGCAGAGGGAAAATACAGCTAGAGTCCTTTGTTTCATTATTTTATTCTATAAAACGGTAAATTATTTTGACCGGAATTTTAAAATGTTAAAAGAACAATTTAAAGGTTATGTGGTGGCTTCGCGATGGAAGCTGAATGCAGACTGCTGATCAGTATGCTGGATGGAAAACGTGGAGCCCCATGTCAGCAAATGATGTCTTTTATTCCCTGTGTATTGAGTGCTGCGAGGAAATGGTGATATTGTTAGCATATGAATAACATCAAAGCCCCACATTGGAAGATAAACCTCCATCTTCTGAAATAGAGTGCACAGCCTCCCCTCGTGTATTGAAGTGCCTCTCTTTCTAACACTGTGCTCTGTCCAACCCCAGAGCCGTTTCTTCCAAGAACAGGCAAGTTGATATTCAGCACCGGGTTACTGGTGCATGACTGCACATTCCATCACTGAGGAGAAAACATTTTCACATCAGATTGCCTTCCTACATGAAGGGTAGGAAGGCTTTTTGTTTTTGTTGTTGTTGTTTTTAAGTTTGTTGGGGAGTGGAAGTGACATTTTCTTTAGAGGTCCCACAAGATGCTTATGATTTTTATTATTATTTGTCCTCAAAATGAGAGACTGATCTAACCAGTTGACAAGAAATAGAGTGGATAACTGCCTCTTCATCTCTGAATTCAGACATGACTCCTTTCTTTGCCACTGGATTCTTCAATCAATACTGACATGCTGGCCAGACACAATTTAAAAATAATGCCGCGGTTGGTCCCATTCTCCTTTTCTGTGCATATTATAGGAGCGTGATAAGGAGTTCTTGTCAAGCCCCTTCTCTTCCCACCTGTTCTGATGATCACCAAATGCTGCTGCTACTCAAAAGAGAATATGAGTTCTGCATCAGAATTCCTGGGGCTTTTAAGAGTACCAGCCACGTCAAATAGGGCCTAGGATGATAAACGGCATGACAGCCCATAACAGAGCAAGTAATTCCAGATGCCTTGGATGTTTAGTCTATTAGCTCATGGGGATGTGTAAGGAATAGTCAGTTTCCATTAATGTTCAATTTATTATTGCCCAAGATGCTTACGGTATGATGCTGCTAGTCATTTTCTATAACAACTTTATTTATAGAGGAAGTATTTTCTGAAAGGTACATGGCTGAAACTTCATTCCTGAGCTCATATGTTATGCTGACCAGAAACGTCTGTCAAAACTTAGATCAATGTCATGGGCCATATTTTCATTTTCATTACTCTTGGAGTTCTTTTTCTTTAATTCATATTGCCAGCTCTTATAGTTAACATTCAGAAAAGTTTAGGTTAGCTGGATTCCAGCCCATGGTTTAGAAATAAGTAGAGCATAATAATGTTGACATGATTGATTTCTAGTTACTCTGTGTGGTTTCTCTTGCATGTTTAAAGAGTATCTGCATATAAAAGCAAAGAAGCAACACATTTGTTTTATAAAGAGCTGGATGTACTCTTGATGGAGAGCTGTATTATAGTCGTTGTAATAGAATACCTTTTCTTACTTTTGTCTCTCACCCAGTACACCAAGTTATTGTTCTCACATTCTCACCGAGTGATATACATTGAGAAATTGAATCTTGGTGACTCAAGCTTGTCTGATTGTTAGATCCTGGATTGCTTCCAAGTGGGAGGTTGGAATGGAAAGAACCAACACAAAGTCTTTTGGCACATGTTAGGAATACCAAGTACTTTCTCCAGATTTCCTAATTAGTTTTCAAGACAAATGCTCAGGAAATTATAACAATGTATCTGATTCAGCTCAAATTTTTAGACATAGTGGATGTTAATAAGAATTAGCATTCATATTTTTAGATGATTCTATTTTAGTCTTCAGCTTATTTAGTTTTATATTTTAAGTTTCCAATTTTTCTTTTCTTTCTTTTTTCTTTTTTTGTTTTTAACCCACATATTGATCAGCAAATGCCATTGTTCTGAACTGGATTTTCCTCTCTGAAGAAGAGGCAGCTTTCTACATAACTGTTCAAGGAAGGTGAAAAGACACCATACTTAATTCAGTAATGAGTAGGTTCATATGCACGGCAGGGCGTAAGAGCCTGCTTGTTACTCTTCTAATTTTTTCATAATATCCCTTGGTAATAATTTACACATTTTAAAGAATACTTTATGCAGAACCAGGAAGGGCAGAGGTTGGAAGGAACTTAGTGATTTCACCGATAAAAAGAACAGTCTTACTTAATGCTGTCAGAGTTGGATGAACTGATGGTTTTATGTGTCACAGATTTCAAGGCATCTAAATTAGTCTAAAGTTATTGCCAGCTATCCTGATTGTTTGGGACAGCTATTAAACATCATACACAGTCATTAATCCTCAAGCTCGCAAAAAAGGTGTTTGGAGTGGCCTTTAAAAATAAGAAATACTGTACTAGCGGTTAAAAAAATATCACTTGGTCAAGTATTGTTTTGAGACTAAATGAAGTATGGAAACTTTTTCATAGGTGCAGTTTAAAGCATCTGCCCCTTTTTTTTGGTGAACAATGATTGAATAAGGCCATATTTCTGTCCTGGGACCAGGACTCTAGTGATCTGATAATTTGCCACCAAGACTAATTTTGGAGCTTGACTAAACTTTGAAAGCACCTTTACATGTTTCATCCTATGAATGAATATTACTAATAATCTCAACTCCCCAAACCCACCCTTCTCATTGGCTAAGCAAGAATTCTGTTTTAAAGTCACAGAGAAATTTCAAATTTCAAATTATGAACCTCAAAAGAGAGGGAGAGAGAAAACGATTTTATAATACCTCATCTGGATATTGCACCGTGTGTTCACCAAAGTCAGAACTCCTTCTGTCACCACATATTTACATATGTGATCTGTGTACCTGTGGGGATGGGAAGTATGTAATTGAATAATAAGAAGAAATCAAAAGGATGAAATTTCACCAAAGGAGCTTTGAAATTATTGCATTGGATTGAATTTACTGATTTGACCAAAATACAGGTTTTGCAACTGATCAGGTGGGGAATGCATGAAAATGATCAGATTGTCTATCAAGAAATAAAGAAGCTGCTTTAAGCATCTGAATGCAGTTTGAGTAAATTAATTGGATGTTGGACCTCCTGAGTTGATCCTAGGTCTCCTAACTGCTTTTCCTCACATATCCCAGTTTTGCATTTTTATTCCACATTCTGGGACATTTATGCAATTTTTTCTCCCAGAACTTTGAGGGAATTTTTTATTTTGATACTAATATTTTTAATTTTGAGGAATATTTTCTTGTTCTCTGA